ATGTCTGAAGTGATATATTTAATATTCAATGGATCAATTTTGGTTTTGCAGATACCAACCGAGTATAAAACTAATCGATCATAACTTTCTCTTTGCTTCTACTTATCATTTTTAACTTAGAAAAGATAATAAAACTTTGATGCTTGTATAGAAAAATCTATATATACATATTTCTAAAGCTTTGTTGAATACGTGTTCTAGATTGTTAAATATTATAACCATAAACTTTATCATCTGATTGTAAATATTTATTCTTTAAAGAAATTTGAAGAAAAATCGCAATCTTAAAAATAATGTAATTTCCCTTAAGTACAGTCGAAGATGGAATATAAATGAAAATAAAGAGGTCAATGTTAACGCAACATTTGGTTATTTAAAGAACAAGCCGAGTCGATAGAGCACAATGGTGAAAGGACAAGAATGGGAATGTTTTCAGTATTTGATATATGTGACAGTCAGTATGTCAGACGCATTCTGGAAACTTTCCAAACATATCCTATTCTCCATAGGCAGTCACAAACATATACGAAGAACAGCAGCTATGCAGATACTTCACCAGTTATGAAAATATGCCCGGTTTTAATCGATAGAAACCTTTCTTTTGAAAGTTTAATAACTTGAATTTTTACATTCTTTTCGAAACTTTTTTATGGTTAAAATAATCTTTACTATAGATTGCCCGTCATATACATCTTTTTGAAATATTAAGAATATAAAATTTGAACTTTCTATGTATTCTACATTCTTTTTTTATTTTTAATTCTCTCTGAAATAAAACAAGTGACTGGTTCATTTATGAGAAATATTTAAGATTGAACTCTACTTCTCTGAATTTAGAATTTTAAACTACAGTAGTATATAAATAAAATATATTGATTAAATAATGAAATAAAATTTCCTTCCTTCAAGCACAAATCTTATCTTTAAGTTTTTAAAATAAATCAATTATTATATTAATTTTTAAATGAATTAAAACATTGTTACGTAAAAAATTTTTTAATTTATAAGTTGAAATATTTTGTAAACACATTTAGCAAGATAATTAATTAATATTTATTTACCTACTTTTTCATATTTATTTCATTAACCTAATTTCATAATATTATTCATTCGAAACACTAAGTTTATATCCTGATAAATAAAATATTTTATTTTTATTATTACTTCTTTTCTCTTTTAATAAATAATAAATAAAGATTCCATAATTATTCATCAACGTTGTATACGTATATACTGTATGTATATATATATATATATACAACGTTGACGAATAATTATAGTATTTTATATATATANATCTTTGCAATATTATTCATCCGATTTTATTATGCGTCGATCTCTCAACACAATTTTCTCTTATTTATATATCTTTCTTTAAATCCTATTTAACGAAGCGGCCAAGAATTTCTGATCATATTTAAAACAAAACTGGGATAAATGTTTCACTTTAACATAAGTACACTCTTAACAGGAGAACAATTTGCATTTGATTGTTGTAAAAAAGATAAAATTTATCCACATTTTCTCATTCAGGACACACGCCTTGAACTGTTAGTAATTTTTTTTAAATACATCTCCACATTTTATATTCATATATGCAACTTGGATAGATGATGCCGCTGGAATTTCTTTTTTATTTTTTAATATTTATTTTCATTTTTACCAAAAAACATCTTACCGAGGTCAGTGATAAGTAAAAAAAGAAAATGAGCAGCCTTATTTTTAATGATTTTAGAGTGAATGCTTCTTATCTATGTAACTATAAGCATCATACGAAAAAGAAAACCTATCATTGAAATGAGTTAGAACATCAATCAAAATCTTTCCACCATTTTGTCTCTTAAGATAGTAAAAGCTATAATTTACCACAATTATTTTCGAGTGTGTCATTCTCTAAATATTCAACTTCTTAATAACTCATTGGTTTAGAAATAGAAGAGGAATTATTTTAATATTTATAACATTGTAAAATTATTAAAATTCATCCAGTGGTGAAGAAAGAAGTTCTGAAATTGGATCTGAAAAAATTGACGAATGTATATTACATTAATTCCAGTATTTTTAGAGATCGTTCAGAAAAGAATTGGGTGATGAAGAAAATCCATCTTTCGAAAATTGAAAAACTAAAAATAATAAGGAGAAAAAATGGGATGAAAAATGAACTTTCAACTATAGTGCGAGCCAAATAACATTGCGTGGTTATAGGAAATATGTATTTTTTTTTTTTTTTGGTGTAATAAAAAATTGATAATGTAGAAAAAGTAAGCAAAAATCTATGTGCGTAACATAAAATAATTCAGGATTTAAATTAATTTAAATAGCAAATAAGTGAAGAATCTGATGCAATTTTTCTCGTAGATTTATTGCATGGTAAAATAATGTCGATCTCGATTATTCATTTCACCATGTTTTAAATGAATTATTATCAGGCAAATACGTCATAGTCATAACAACTTTATGAAAAATTAACCCTTTACCATTAAAAATTTCCAATTTTTGTTTTTTAATTAAGATAAATATAACTTACACAAGCAATTTAAGTAAAATATTTAAATATTGAGTACTGTCGTAAATGTTGAAGATCTATTTAGAGAATGTTATAATTTTTTTAAAAATATATATTTTCAGTAAAGTCAGAAAATGCGTGACGAAAAAAAGTTATTGAAATTCTGATATTCTACTCGTAGCTTTCGCTTAAGGAAGAAGATTGAACTTTAGTTTATAAGAAAACAAAAATTTTACAATTCCATATCAAGGATAAGCTTCAGTTGAAATAAGAAATTGACTCATCTGGGGACTTTTCTGAAAGGAAATTTCTAAAGATTCAAATCTTCAGTTTCAAAACTGAAATTTTCTCTAAGAAAATCAAAATGTATTGAATATATTTCAAAACTTTCCATTTACTTTTTATAATATTCTATTATAAAGTAATAATAAATAAATCCATTAAAATCTCGTAGGAAAGTTGAATCAACATACGATCAATACTATTGCAACTACTTCTGAAGAGTATTTTTTATTTTGTAAAACTCTAAGATTACTTAACATTAGAAAAAGTAGTTTATATCTGTAAGGTTACTTCTTGTTAAGTTTAATAATTTCTTATTATTTTAAAATATATTAATAATTTTAAATATTTTATTAAGCTATATATATTTTGTTTTCTGTCTTCTTAGAAATTACTAATTAGTTCCTATGAGCTTTTTAAATTAGATTCAGAAATTACCTCTTGAGCTAGAATTTTATAAGGGTAATTTTTGAAAACACATTATATTTTCGTAACTTAATTTATTAATTTTTACAATATACGTGTGTATTTACTACAGTAAACTAAAGATAAACTGAACGGGTATAAATATGTTATATATATTATATTGTTTTGTTAATTTTTTAATTCTTTCCAGATAGGTAGTTAAATTCCCAAATTCCATTATGCACGGCCTTGCATAAATACAATTTGTTCTTATAAAATATAGTCTTAAATTTCTTGCTTAATACTGTAGTGAGTAACTTTCACCTAAAGTTTACCTTTACATTATTTACTCGATTTTATTTGTAAGAAAAAGAAGTTTTACTCAATACTTTACGTCAAGGGAAAGGAGTGAGATCCAAAACTGAATACTAAACAAGTCTATTTTTTTTTTTCAATCTTGAGAGAGAAATATTTTCTAGAAGTGATGCAGAGAGTCATTTTGGTGCTTCTGGTAAAGAAAAAACTTTCCTGAATTCCCTCGTCAACATTTATTGCAATGGAATGTGGTATCTGTTTATTTTTTCTCGTATCTAGTGTTTCACGAATTTCCCATAAAACTAGAGATTTGTTAAATTACTTTCGGCAAAGTTTATCTTTGCAATATTATTCATCCGATTTTATTATGCGTCGATCCGAAACAAAATATTGTTGATTATGTTGATTATTAAGATAATATCAGCAGGACCTGTAATCTTCTGATAAAACGTGACGTGAAATTGAATCGATTAATCGATCGTTAATTCTCTTAATGTGTTTAAGAGATATTTATATGTTATAATTGATTAGGTGTTGTATTTATCAAGTAATTTTTTATAAATTAATATAAAAAAATAACTTTTTTCGAAATGCTTAAAGAAACTTATCTGATAAAAAAGGAAACTTGTCCCAGTTTTCAATACAATAATGTATCATGTTTTAAAGTAATAATTCATTTCAGTATTCTCTTGGCTAAGGATCTATTCCATTTTATAAAATTTACCCAAAAAAAGCTTTTAAAAAATGTTTAAACTCTTTACAAAACTTCTAAAAATATTTTTGAATTATTTAGAATATCCAATAAGAAATTAAACTGGGCATTAAAAATTGAAAGAATAAAAGCAAAACTTAATTTCAAGTTTAACACAGCAAGAACTTATAAACATTTTATTTACACTTAAAAATAATCTAATACTATAAATACTATTTTATTTATTCTATAGAAAGGTTTTGCCACTTTGATCCTTCAGGGAAAAGATAAAAAAGAATGAAACAATTTCAAAAATGGAGAAACCAATTTAAGTATCTAAAGTAGAAACGGACTAACTTAATTTCTGTATATTTTATGATGTATCTATACACTTTTTAATATTAAATAACATTTCTTCTTTAAATGCACAATTAATATAAATGAAGTGAAATCCTCCCAAACTATCTACAGTAATTTTTATAAAGAGAAATGATAAATTTAAACCTTGTTTTTCGTTATCTCTTAATTATCTGTAAAATAGTAATAATGCTATCCAGTTAATTCTTTAATTAAGAGAACTAATCAGAAAATAATTTATTTAATAGAATGAATTAAACTGATTTTGTTGTAGACATGTCCATGCATTCAATATCTCTACTAAAATTTATCAGATAAAATATTTTCAATTATAATCTAATTTATTGTAAAATCTTTAAACATTTTCTTTATAAACGGTTCACATTTTATTTTATAAAATTTTTATAATTAAAATTAAATTTTATAAAGATGACATCTGCATACCTGAGAGATATTAAGTCCATTTAGAGGTATACACTGTTCTTCTACTTTCTCCACTGCACCCGTCTGTTTCTTCATTCTTTCGGCTTGTTGAGCCAAGTATAAATCTAAAACAGGGATTCCCCTAGATTTGACGTCATTCTCTGTCAAAGAGTTAACCATAAGCATTACCCAAACTGGCCTCTTTCGCTCCCAGTTTCCAGTTATGGCATTAAACAAATAGTCGCCATAACGTCCTCTACCTCTTTGATCTGCACTCATCCAAGAAGGCATCTTGCCCTTTATGTAATCCAAATGTCTCTTTAGCCTCCCGTAAATGTCATCTGGTATAATGTCCGCTAGATTCTTACCCTGAGGCAACATCTGGCAATTAGCCAATGCTGAAATTGTGTATGGATCCATCAAGTCCAATTCGAAATAAACATTGTCTGACGATTCGAAGGCTTGTTTGGCATTGTCCGGAATGTAATCCCACACTCTTGTGTAGGGTACATGAATGGTCCCGAAAAAGTAGGAGGGGGGTTCTCTCTTGATTGTCCATAGAAAAGACGAGTGCTGATCATTCTGCGAAATTGAAAAATTATTATGTGTAAATTTCTTTCAATCATTTAAAAAATATGTCATTTAATTATAAGTTACAATATGGTGTTCCAATAGAAACTTATTTTAGGTAATAATACGACTAGAATAAGCTATAACAGATCAATTAAATAATAATTTGACAATCGAATTTCTATAAAATTTATATATATATATATGAAACATATTGCAATATGGTTGCGCTAATCCGAATCCCTGGTCGTCCCGAAGAACTTCTACCATTCCCTATATCTGCATCTCACGTGTAAATAAACATGAATAACGCATAAACACTGGTGCTCATTTTTTCTGTGACCCTATTTGACTTAACAATTCTAATTTCTGTTTGCTGCTGTAAAGTATCTTACAACGATAAACAATAGCCTCAAAACGTATTCATCATATCCTTACTATTACCTTCTATACTGCCGTTAATCCGAAATTTTCATTAATCCTAACTACCACTGGTCTCAATTAGGTCGGATTAGCGCGACCACACTGTATAATTCAAAAAATATATAAATACTCTAATATAATATAAATATTTTTAAAATAAAATAATATGGCAGTTAAGTAAATAAAGGACAACACCAACTTTACAATATATGTCAGAACCCAAATGACCTATTTTTTTGACTTTTTATCGATTTGTTTCAGCTTTAATAATTTTGAATACAAGTTTTGAAATCTTATTTTTACGAAAAAATCTCAAAAATATTTCGTTTAACCTCAATCGTTTAAAATAAAACAATATTATAATAGCAAAATCGGCTTGACAGAATGAATGGTTCTAGTCACATGCTTTAAAAATTTCTGGTTTGCCTGATTTGTCTAAATTTGATAAACGACGTTCTCGAGCATGAATTTTTCTCCATTTTATAGGATACACAGGAATTTTCTTGTAAAAACTTTTTAAAGTATATTGAAAATGAATAGATAATGTTAAATTCTAATACGATTTAAAAAGTTTAACAATACTCTTTCTTAAAAACGACAGTATATAATCGAACTATACTACAGGATATATTTTATTTAGGTAAAGAAAAGTCAAATCCCAAGTCTCCTATTTGATAAATCTACTCAATAGCAATTAAAATTTTATTACTGTTGCTTAGAACCGATTTTTTTAAAGAAAGAACTCTATAGATACTTAGAACCTTTAATTTATTTCCGAATAAAGAATGATATTTTATTATATATCAAGCATTAAATTGCTTGAAATATCGATTAATAATTAGAAAAAAAGACAAAACGATTTAATGATTTTAAGGTCTTGCTATCTACTTCTTACATTTTAACTCAAATATCATTCTTTATGTTAGACTTTATGATTTTTGAAATAATAGAATCTAATGTTCAAAATCTTCACGAAAGAACATATCCTTTATTGAAGTAATCCCAAAAGAGTTATGAAGAGTTCGGTTACATATGATGACTATAGAACCCAGAAGACATCAAAAATCCCTCAGGAGTTCTTTAGGACTTGTTTTGGCAATTTAAAATTTAAAAAATAAAAAAGGCCAGTTGCTCGGTTTTCTTTAAGGATTACGAAATGCACCGGGGGCTATATTAATATATTCATTTATTATACAGCATCGTTAGACTTTAAAGAATAATAGAATCTCATTTAAAATCATTAATTCCGAAAAAATGAAGCTCCAAAGTTATAATTTAAAAACTTAGGAAAAAACTATTATAGTTAACATCTAAATATCAGTAATGAAAAGAACGAAAAATAGCAATTAATTAATTAAACCTTATGCAGGTTCCTATCAGTGGCCAAATGGATAAAATCACTAAACATTGGTCGTGGATTCACGCGTGGAAGTTTTTCGTTTTTCGGGCTTTCTTCACGTTTGTAACAACCAAAATAGGTGCCAGTTTCCCATAAAAGACCTCCAGAGAGACATCCACCCTCGGCAGATTGCCCACGTGTCGCCTTGCCGTAAACAAATAAACCAAACTTTATGCGGGTAGACTTTAAATTCGAACAATTATTTAATTAAAATTGCTAGAGTTTAAAATACAATAATATGCAAACCTACAGGAAAATTTTGCAAATTTTCCTGCAGTTTTGTTATAGTTATTTTCAAGAGTAAGATGTATTATCCTTTCATACGATAAACTATCAAAAAAGCAACAAATTTATATGCAATCCAATTCGACAACTGAATAAAAGAAAATGTAAATTTTGATCATTTCGCTTAAATAGTTTCACTATTGAAATATAATCGGTTAGAGCAAATTTCAATTTTCTGGTCAAGAAACTTTAATATCAACTAGTGGTATGAAAAAATGTAGATTTTAGATACATGAACTCTACTTGTTTGATTGATATACTTTTATTATATAATAGAAAACAGCTGCTTTTTATTTGGTTAATTTTTTGAAAGAACAAAATTTCATCTAAAAAAATAATATTAAATTTTTTAGGTTATACTTTATGATTTTTGAAATAATCTAATTCACATGTCGAATTCTTAACTAATGCTTAAAATCCTAACAAAAGATCATATCCTAATATAATCCCATATCAAAAATTTTATAATTATAATTTTATTTTTAAATTTAAAAAAAATAAATAAATAAAATCCTAAAAATTTTTAAATATAAACTTTTAAACTATTTTGAAATATGACAATATTTTACTTTAAAGCAATTAAAATATTATATTTAAATTAAAGGATAAAGTTTAAAATTGGTTAAATTTGTTGCAATTAATATTACTTAAATAATAATTAGATTAATAGTAATATTGATGACTACTCTAATGATTTATATAGTTTTATAATTTAAATTGCTAAATAACGTGACATTTTCCACCTTTATAACTCGTAATATTTATTTACTTCAACACAGATATCCAAATTATAAATAAAACACTTATATAAAATATTCTGTGGATTAATAATTAAATTATCATTATAATAAGTTTTAATATTTTATTATTAAACTTAAATATAGGCTATATAAAAATTTTTCCACATAAATAAATAGTAAGACGTTAAATATGTATTATTTAATTGATACATATGCTTTATATTAGTAATATATTCCTAAATAGTTAATAATATCATGAGTTTCAGTATAATATATCATTTCTATATTGCAAAAGTTGTAATAATAGTAAAACTCTTGCTCTTCTTTGTGGGACTCTACTTAAAAAATGTTTGTAGAAATTTTTCCACATAAATAAATAGTAAGACGTTAAATATGTATTATTTAATTGATACATATGCTTTATATTAGTAATATATTCCTAAATAGTTAATAATATCATGAGTTTCAGTATAATATATCATTTCTATATTGCAAAAGTTGTAATAATAGTAAAACTCTTGCTCTTCTTTGTGGGACTCTACTTAAAAAATGTTTGTAGAAAATATACCAAATTAGAGTATTTTCTAATTCTGAACGAGGTTGTTAAAAATATAAAAATTTGTTGTTATAAAGGAATAGGGGGAAAAAGAAATCCTTGCTTTTACAGTAACAAGAGATTCATGGTTGAATGTAACAGCCCTTAAAGGTCGGTAGCGATACTTGTGCATTATTCAGCGATACTTGGTCTCAAAAATGACCAGAATGACTTTTTATCCCTGTGACATCTTTCAAAATTTATCGTCTAAATTGAATAAAAGATAAAATGTATTGTAAGACATTTTGAAAGATTGAAAAGTTTTTCCTTCATTAATATTGTAACATCAAAACACGAATCTGTTCGAACAATTCAATTATCTCTAGGAAATAATTCAAATTGCAATTCTTTCAGTAGAATGCCATTAAATGATTACGCTCGAAAAGAGAATTTTTTGGCAGCAATTCAATTCTTTATTTTTGAATTACATTTGTCAGTTGCGTTTCTTCTTTCTCTTAAATTTAATATTTTAAAAAATCTTTAATTTATCTTAATAAAATGTGTAGTGATTTTTAAAGTTTAAATATTCTTCCAAACAAAATCAAAATAGAGAAATGTAATATTAAAATCACATCTTCAATAACTCTTATAAAGTTGAAACGAAGAATTAATAAAACGATACAATCCGTACAGCAGCATTTGTAATTAGCATTAAGTATAGAATATGTAACTTAAAACTTCCCACTCTGCATGACTAGAAATATAGATATTCAAAGCATTTGCACTAATTACCAACTTAGCGATTAGTGACCCCTAATAAAATAATATTAACATTCAAGAAACTAATAATTACAAATATTTGTATTTAATAATTTAACTCGTTATTAAAGTCAATAAACAGATAAAAAAAAGGAAGCCAAGTGAAAGACTTAAAAAACTCGAGGGAAAACTTAACAAAGTCGAAGAAAATATCTACAATACTAGAGGCAATTCCAAGAGCACTAAAAGGAAAACTAACAACAATGTAGAATGAAACTAATAATACTACAGGAAATAAAGTGAATGCTGTAAATGCCAAATAAGAAAACCAATATTATTAAAAGAAGCAAACTAATAACAATAAAAAGCAGAATAAAAAAATTCAATAATATTCAATCGCGAATATGGGACAACTATGGTATAAAACAATTCAGTAAATCTTTAAACAAAATTAAATAAAACACAGAATGTTAAACCGTGAAACAGAAACCTTATACATAAAAAATTATGATAAACAATATGAAACAAAATTAAAGAGAGAAACGAAATATTTATAATCAAGAAGTGTTCAACTATCCTTAAAATACAAAACAAATTATAAAGAAGCAAAGACGATGGTCTTCTCCACACAAGACAAAGCCAATAAGTCTCCACAACATGAACCAAACAATCCAAAGATAGAGCAATATAATAAAGACAATTTATCAAAGATGCAGTATAAAAAATAGTAAGCAAAATAACGATATAGAGTCGAGTAAATCATAAAGATGAAGGAAAAAAAGTTGTGTTTTGGATGATAAAATATAATAATAATTTAATTTAACTTCTTCAACAGTTTTTTTTATTATTATAAATTTTTGTAAGATTTTTA